ATCTGAGGCTGAAGACAGAAGGCCTCTATGGGGCTAGCCATCCCCATGCTTGAGGTATTCCCTCCCCACCCCAGGCCAGGCGGCAGAACCAGATATGAATGGGTATGCACCGTTGCCACTTAAACTTGGAGCTCCACTACAGGAGATAAGTAAATTGTGTCTCCAAGACATTCGTCCAGTATCAGCAACAACAGATACTTCGGCATGGTTGATGGATCCTGCGTTGCCATTCGTTCTGAGCAATTTCAGGAGGGAGCACAGTATAATTATGAACGAATTAGACCCCAATCAAGCCCAGTCACAGTAGTCCTCTTTCTAGGACTTTTTCCTGTCTTTTCCAAAGGCTCTTTCGGGGGACTTAGAAGAGAAAGACAAACCCTGAAGAGCGATGGACTGAGGGGGAGCAACCCTCGACTCACCCCCTTCAGCAGGAGGATGTTACAAACGTGCAAGAAAATGCAGAAGCAGAAAGCGGGGGGGGGGACGTCTGGGGAGGTTTACAAGACACCCCCCCACAGCTCGCAAAGCCTAAGAATGAAGCGGAAAAGGGGTCCCAGGGCGGCTCCCCAATCCAGCCCCCCGCAGGTCCCCAGACGCTGCTTCCCGCCCTGGGCCCTCCTTTCCTCCAAAGGCCCTTTGTGGGCTCCCCCCACGAGGAAAAAGGGCGACAAATAGCCCCAAGCCCGAAAGGTCAGTCAGGGCCACCACCCAAATCCTCCCCAAACGAATAGGATTCCCACAAGGAATCCAACAATAATAAAATGCAAACACGAAAATGATCCTAATAGGTGGTGTTTTTTGTTTTTTAAAAGAACCCGTTTTGAATCGTTTCCTTGATTTTGTAAGCCGCCCAGAGCCTTCTGGAGCGGGCGGCCATTTATACATGGGATGTAAATAAAATAAAGTAAAAAGGAGATCGATAAAATGAAACGGAACGAACACGAAATCAATAAAAAGGAAGTAACGAAATGAAAACGAATGTAAATCATGAAATGAAAACGATATGAATAAAAACAAAACAATGGGAAGCGGATTCTACAACAGAGCAGCCGACGACGGAAAGGCCGCGGCCCCGTCCCGAACCCGCAGGCGGGCGGCCTACCTCGCAGGGCCGTGGCGGGCAGCCGGGCCGGCCGAGGCGGCTCCCGTCCCGTCCCGTCCCGTCCCGT